AGACGTAAAACCAAGCAATTTTTAATTACAGTAGACAGTTGAACGAGAGCCCGGCCCTGCAACTATTGTAAAACTTATAAATAAAACAAAAACACTTCTTTGCACTCTTTTTTTTTTTAGGAAAAAAAATTAATATATATATATGTATATATTAGACCCAGTCAGAGAACGCTCTCAGTGTCATACAAGCGATACTTGGCTACTAGATCTGTACACTCTGTGCTGCATCATTTGATTTGACTCAAATTCTCTGGCTTTCTCCCATGCTGGCCGACTAAGAACAAGCTGGCTCGTCGATCTCTTTATAGGCTGGTTGCTGCTAACAAGTTTTACAGCGTTCTCGTTCGTGTTTCCCGACCCAGATGCAGACTTGGGTCTTCCACCATGATACATGACTGGCATACTGCCGTGTCTTGTGAGTGTACCAAATGCGATGGGCAGTTTTCTTGGAAGCGAAAAAGACGATTTGTTGTTCCGTACGACGGCGCTTTGCGTTGGACGAGATCCGTATAAGGCGAACGTTTTTGATCTAGATGTATTTCGCTCTAAAGCGTCCCCGGGAATTTCATTAATAACTGGCATGCTTCCAAACCGATTAAAGGTTCCCTCCGCAAAAGTCTGGGAACGATTGCGCGGAGAGACCGCGGCGGTTGACAACTGTCCGATTTCAATTGTAGCCACGCTCCGCGCGCGCACTCTAATCGGATTACGCGCGGGTTTCCGCTTGGCTTCTTCGTCGCCGGTCTCGTCCCGTTTCACAACGATACTGCCATGGGAGCGATTCACAGAGACAGAAAAAGAGCTGCTCCTCTGTGGTGTCATTGGCGGATACGTCTTCAACATCTGTTGCACGCTCTCTTCCAGCTCTTCGTCGCTTCTTTCCTCATCAGTTAATATGCCAGAATCTTGTTTAGCGTGGTTTATTCTAGGTCCTTCTGGACTGGAGTTTATGACCTCAACTTTAGTTACATAGCCCGGAGCAGGAGCGGGTTTGATTTGCTCTCTGTCTTCTTGTAGGGTCTCCATTTCCCAATTTTCTCGTTCGTTTTTAAGTTCGTCTTTGAGTCCAGAGATGCTGCAACGCATTGCTAACAGCTGTTTGTGTAAATTTCTGTCTTGCGTCTGCATGGCTGCCTATAGAAATAATTATAAAAGAAAAAGCAAATTGACCTTTAATGTTGTATCGATATTATAAACCTAAAGCAGTAACATGAAATATTTGGGCACCCAATGCGGAAGTGAATAGGTCCGCAGTGCGTATAGGCCGAAAAATTATTATTATTACTTTGTATATCGGGCAATTCTATATCGTCTTGCTGTGAAGAAATACTGGTTTTAAGTGGTTTTCAATATAAACCATAAATGTTCTCGAAAAATCACGTGACCTTTATTGTTCTAGCTACTATAATATCTGCAAGATGTTGATGAATATTTCTCGCCATAAGGCCTGCCAATAGAGTTAATTCCTTTCATTACTGACAATATGCCTCCATGCTTATCCTTTTTCAATTACGGAAGCTATATACTGTAGGAGTTTTAAGAAAATTGAAGATATCAATGACTCAGCTGAAGACAAGCTTATGTTAAAATTGAACTTCAAACTGAACAAACAAAAGCATCTCCAGCTTGGCAAAAGTCATTCAAGGAAATTAGAATTAGAATTAATATACAGTGTAAAGTACAGTTCTCCAATCATTAAATCAGTTTTTTCTCACTTCATTATCAGTTGAAACCTCTAGTACTTCGAATCCGTCTATTTTGTTTTTTCTTACGGTGAATCCTTGCAAATTTACTTGTGCCGTTTCATTTTTTTAGCGTCATAAGTCAGTGTTCAATGAGTCACTCCTGAGTAACGTCTACGGAAAAAGACCGTTTCGTCCTTGCTTAATATAGAAATATCAAATCAAAAGTTGAACCAATAAAATTTGTTTTAGCCTTCCGATATTGTCAGGATATTGATCGAGTTGGACTGACAATGGAGTCTATTTTTTCTTTTGTCTTATGAATGAAGGTTAAGTTCTAAATAAAGGTTCGAATTTTGGCCTCTTTGATACTTCACGAATGCAACTTTCTTGACATATCTACATCATTCTTTATTGAAGCAATATAAAATGTCCTTCGTAATCAGCCAATAAAGGAAAACAGAGTTAACCATAAAGTGATATTGTGATGAAGTTGCTTTCATGCATGTGTTTACGAGCATGACTTTCACATCATAAAATTTATTGAATTTTAATGACATTTTATTAACACTCGGTGAAGCTCATGACACGAAAGTGAAAGTAAACTATCCGATCGAAATAGTTGACACAAGCGAAAGTTAGGGAAAAGAATTAACTCTCAGTGAAATTTTTGTGTATTACATTTATCAAAGTATATATAGCTTTTCGTTTCAATTTTTCTATTTCCATCCCGACATGACGTCACATACTGCCTTCAGTAGCTAACCCTAAAAAACTTGTCACGGCTTTAAAAAGTTTGAAAGTGCTGATCACCCACAAAAGTCTCATAAAGGGCTTCGGTTTGAGAATGATCACTAAACCTAATTTTTACCTGTTTTTCGACTGAAACTGGCGGGTTTTCCTTGAACGCTCGATTAGTACTTATCGACTGAGACGACATTCAAAAAATAGTTCATCATCAAACTTAATTGAGCGTGAGAAAGAGTAACTTCTGGCCTTTAAAACGTCAGAAACTCATTAAATTATATAGTTCAAGGCTTTCAACATTTCCGTCTGAAATTGCTTTATCATCAGCTCTGTTATGTGAATATTGTTCGTTTCCAAATATAGGTGAACGAATAGCTGCATGCAATAATACATCAGTAGTATATATATTTTTAAATTCTTTTTAATGGTATCAGATCATAGGAATCGACTAGAAATTTAGTATATTAATACCNGAAATTAAAATTAGAATTAATATACAGTGTAAAGTACAGTTCTCCAATCATTAAATCAGTTTTTTCTCACTTCATTATCAGTTGAAACCTCTAGTACTTCGAATCCGTCTATTTTGTTTTTTCTTACGGTGAATCCTTGCAAATTTACTTGTGCCGTTTCATTTTTTTAGCGTCATAAGTCAGTGTTCAATGAGTCACTCCTGAGTAACGTCTACGGAAAAAGACCGTTTCGTCCTTGCTTAATATAGAAATATCAAATCAAAAGTTGAACCAATAAAATTTGTTTTAGCCTTCCGATATTGTCAGGATATTGATCGAGTTGGACTGACAATGGAGTCTATTTTTTCTTTTGTCTTATGAATGAAGGTTAAGTTCTAAATAAAGGTTCGAATTTTGGCCTCTTTGATACTTCACGAATGCAACTTTCTTGACATATCTACATCATTCTTTATTGAAGCAATATAAAATGTCCTTCGTAATCAGCCAATAAAGGAAAACAGAGTTAACCATAAAGTGATATTGTGATGAAGTTGATTTCATGCATGTGTTTACGAGCATGACTTTCACATCATAAAATTTATTGAATTTTAATGACATTTGATTAACACTCGGTGAAGCTCATGACACGAAAGTGAAAGTAAACTATCCGATCGAAATAGTTGACACAAGCGAAAGTTAGGGAAAAGAATTAACTCTCAGTGAAATTTTTGTGTATTACATTTATCAAAGTATATATAGCTTTTCGTTTCAATTTTTCTATTTCCATCCCGACATGACGTCACATACTGCCTTCAGTAGCTAACCCTAAAAAACTTGTCACGGCTTTAAAAAGTTTGAAAGTGCTGATCACCCACAAAAGTCTCATAAAGGGCTTCGGTTTGAGAATGATCACTAAACCTAATTTTTACCTGTTTTTCGACTGAAACTGGCGGGTTTTCCTTGAACGCTCGATTAGTACTTATCGACTGAGACGACATTCAAAAAATAGTTCATCATCAAACTTAATTGAGCGTGAGAAAGAGTAACTTCTGGCCTTTAAAACGTCAGAAACTCATTAAATTATATAGTTCAAGGCTTTCAACATTTCCGTCTGAAATTGCTTTATCATCAGCTCTGTTATGTGAATATTGTTCGTTTCCAAATATAGGTGAACGAATAGCTGCATGCAATAATACATCAGTAGTATATATATTTTTAAATTCTTTTTAATGGTATCAGATCATAGGAATCGACTAGAAATTTAGTATATTAATACCATATTTGAAATCCATATATCAACGATGATTTTATATGACTATGCCGGTATCGAAAAGCCCGGTTACAGAATTTTTTCATACGAAGTAGCGTGCAATTTGTGTAACTCTTGAATCGCTGCACAATACGGACACTAACTTGAAACTCAAGCCGAAAATTTCTTCCAAAAACAATTGTGCAGAAACCGCCATCTCTACTGCCACCTGCTCCGGAGTGAACCCCAAATGATATTCATGTGCTAAAATGTAAATGACCAACTGTTATGTCTACGTAATATAACCTTTCTGTCATTTCGTGAAATTGGAAATAATAAGCTATTTAAAAGTTTATTTAATCGACTATAACCTCTTGATATTTCCGGATGAGTTAGTACATTTCGAGAGAAGCGGATAATTCGTGCAAAAAATTGCTTCCACGCTGTTTTTTATTCAAATCATAGTTAACTATGTTTCAATCTACGTCACACAATAACACTATACAAATAGAAAAAAAAAAAGAAGTGGTCGGATCAGGGCCAATATATACAGCACAAGATTTTAAATGACATCGACTTAAATGTGATTTCGGGGAAGCCACGTCGAGTGTTCAAAGTACAGTATTATTATTAACAAACATTATATGCGAAAATCGAAGAGTCGCACAGAAATGCAATCATGCACTTCAGTATAGCCTCAAGCCTTTTGCATTCGCGTTTAGTTTACCGATAGTGAAGTGAATTTTCTCGTAAGGCTTAAATGGGTCGATCAAAACAATCTGAAAGTTTTGCCAAGATAAAATATATAGTCTCCTTGAAAACTTAAGGCTAATACCGTGTAGAAATGTTGTGACTCTCCCAATATCTGTAAACCGGCTAAATGGCTGAGCTGGCAGCGATTACATATAAATGCTTTCTCCAGTGCAATGAAGCTTAAAAGCAAAGAAAGGTAACAATTTACTTGCGAACTGGATCCACTTTAAGTGTGGGTAAGTTTTGCGAACGTGTGAATTTCAGATCACAAACCGCAAAAACACGAAATTAAATTTAACGCGAACATTTAACGCACACGAGTCGAAATTCAAAGTTCATGAACGAGCGATGATTACAAAAAATATCTAGCTGATCATGGTACTTTAATTTACAAACTGAACCTGTAGTTGCATGGTTATAGAATTATTCGACCTACTCAGTTTCGTTTGTAGAACAAAGCTCCATCTTTTTTTGAAGAGAGTAAAAAATGACGACGTTTCATAACATCCTTTCGCTGAAGCAACCAGAAAAGATGATTTTAATAAAGTTCAAGTCATAAACGACTTTGTCCGCCAATCCATCTAGTCGAACTCAAATATCACAAGTTTCGTAACGTAACAATATCATTAAAAGAATTGGCAGCACATTGACTTGAAAAATCGTAGCAGTGAACAAGGTACTGTGAAGCCGCGTAGAACCAAAAATTAGGCGATTTCAGCAACCCGGATTGTATGACAACTGTCAGGATACAAACCTACGCTTATCTTCAAATATAACAGAATCGGCTTTTAAAAATTATAACAAATACTGCACGCAAAATTGAAAATAGAAAGGCTAACATCGATTGCCAATTTCCTATTTTTAACAGGTTTGGACTGTAGAGAATACATGATCGGCGACTGATTGCTATAACAAATCGACACGGTTTGATTTTAGGCATAACGAAAGTGCCCCTGATAGATGAACATTAGAACACCTTGAAAGAATATCTACTTTGTTCAAGAGCATGACAACTCATAACGGGAAAAATGAGACAAAATGTACTTACTAATTCTCTCCTAAGACAAGCCAAAGCGCCGTCCATGTCAAGCTTATCAGTTTTACGAAGTTTGCCGTCCACATTTGGAACCTTGGGACCGGAGGCTGAAGGCCACAGCGATGTCGATTCTGGGACATCCATTTCCAAAGTCGTTTTGCGCTCCTGCTGAAATACCTCCGGCAACTTTAGGCTCTATATTCCACAGTTTATAAAACAAATTCCTTTATAAAGGGATATTGCTCGTTCAGTCCACTCAAAGAAGTAAAACGAAAATAGCTGCGTGGAGCACCTTCACCATGTCAACCAAAAGAGGCCCGGTTCACCTCGAGTCGCGCGCGCGCCGGTAAATAGTCTGTGAATAATAATTCTACCCTATCAGTCTTTTGTTCAGGGAGCTTCTTGTTTTCACAGCGATTTAATTGACCGATATTGTTTGCTATTGAATTGTGGGCGACATAAGTGAGGGCCTCTGCGTCCAACCAACCAATTAGCTAAAAACCTCAACAAAAATATTGTTTACAACAAACGGTTTTCGTTCACCACATGGTACGAAGCTATTGTGTAGGCTCGCCGCTTGCAACCAGACGAGAACAAATTTGCATATCGTACCTCTCGCTTGGTATTGTACCACTTTAATTTTTAATTTTCACTTCATTGGAACAAACCAGACGACATTCAATGTTATCTCTTTAAGACCATACCCTTAGTAAAGAGTTTTAACGCAATGGAAGCAGAACATTAGAATTGGCAATTATTTTCTTTTCGTTTAGAATAGAATTGGATTGTTTGTATCCTTGAAACCTGTTTCGAGAGTGGTATGTCCAACAATGTTTACAAAAATCAAGCCTCAGTTGAAAGTTATTTGACATTTTTGTCATTCCAAATATTCTTCATTATTTAAAGTACTAGTTTCGACGGCGAAAACCGAAATGAGCAACGTTCAACTGACTAATCGGGCGATTTGCTATCTTCCCAAACTGATTTTCTCCCCTCTTGTTCCATTCCAAAACAAAACCCAGGATTTTTCCGAATGTGCGCGCAACCGCCATTTAGGCACACAATTTGGTTAAAATGTTTGCTTTTGATTCACAGTCAAATAACTTTCTCACTAGGCGTAAATTAATTAGAGTATTAACGCATTTTTGTCCGTCGGTGAACACAGAGAGTGATGTTTAACAAAAATTCTAAACAATCTCCTTTGTATTTCAAATGTTTAGCCCTGTATTGAAGCTAGAAAATCCGAAATTGTTTCAAGACTAATTATTCAAAAATGTAACCGGAAGTTAGCGCTTATCTCTCTTTCCCGCTCTCACTGACTGAATAAACAATTCAACTTTTTGTGAAATTAATCTTTCTAAACGAAAAGTCTAGATCTTTCGGTATAATCATTTGCGTATATTAAGGATAACAGTGAGGTTTCTTTGAGACGTAAAATGATTTTTCGTAGTTCTCTCCGTTGCTCTCAAAGGTTAAGATCTTAATCGAAAGCCACAACAAACAGGAAAACCTTTTGTTCGAGACTAATGAGAAAACAATACAAGTATACAGGTTCTAATCGAATTGCTGTTTAACTGAAGCTGTTTTTGTTTACTTGGATAAACTATTCATTTGTTTCGGAAAAGACCTCTTTTGATGACAGGAAGCTGAAATCACTTGCAAAAGAAATCGAGCCAAGAGTGTGGCCGGAATGGATAACCGATACGGTGGCACACCTTGTGACTTTTATATGTAAAAAATCCGGTCAGTGTAAAACACAGACTGTAGAGGCCTTGCAGACTGCAGACTGCAGACTGGGGGTAAAATGCAGACTGAGGGTATAAAAACGCAGACTGCAGACCAGGGGTAAAATGCAGACTGATGTAGATTCCTTCGCAATAACGGCTGCGAAAGAGACTACGCGACAGATTAATCAATTTTGAAAACATGAAGCATTCATGAATTCGCCAAAACATAACAGCCCAGATCCGCGCGTGGCGTAAATTGTTTGTAACAATTCTGTGACAATTTCAGAAACAGATCGCCCCTTTCAAATTAAAGTTTACTGAACTTACATTGCAATACATGTAGGAGACTTCAGCCATTTATCAATCTCTTAAGAATTACGAAATCCTGAAAAATACTCCGAATTATTCATATTGAAACTTAGAAAAATTTGACAAGGAAAGCCTTTGTTACAGTGGATCTAGATTTCTCGACACATCCATTCTTCGAACCTCAGCCCAGCGAACCAATTTATTATTAGTCTTTTCCTTCCTCTGATAGTCGCTAGAAGTCAAACGCTGTCATTTTAACCCCTTTTTTTTTTTAATAAGTCGAAAGCTGTAATTTTCAACCATTAATTAGTAGTGTGACACAGTAACCATCCAGAGGTAGTCATAAACTTTTGGTATTTTGATATGGCGCCCCCTACATGTCAGACGCCCCTGTTTGTCAGGTAGCGTTACCAACCTTAGTGCAACTGCCGCCTTCGTTCCAAGCAAACACTTTGCATTTAGCCTCGTAGGCAGTTTTCATGGCATCTTCGCTCGACGTTCGTGGGGGAGGATAGATAACATTAAATGTAACCTTGTATTCCTTTCCTTACACTTCGTCGATGACGTACCGAGGAGAGAAAAGAAGAAGTGATAGAAACTCTACAGGCACCCTTCCCTAACCACGGAGAGAGGCCTGGGGACAAGGCCGGAACCAAACCGTTTTTCGGTCCAAATGTTTCTTGGTTGTCGTCTGTGGCGTTGCCTAGGGAGCTAGCCCCTTGCAAGTCTTGCGAAATAAAGCATTTCTGTTCAAATTTGCGCTGTTTAGTTTTAATGCCAACACATTTGTTCTTATCTTTTCCCGCCGACCTGACTCTGAAAAGAGCTTGAAAGCACCAAGTTTACTTTATGAGCAGAGTCGCTTGCATCTTTCAAAGATATATAACTTATCTAAGAGTGATAGAAACGGCTTTGTTCGCAGGGTCCACGATATATCATGAAATGCCAGTCAGCGCTAGGGGTTAAACTTGGCAGCATAAAATCGCTTCAATAATGACTCAAAAGGCTATTATGAGAGAGATCGCAGGAAAGCCACTCCTATCAACCGTTTTCATCTGCATTCTACTTGGAAAACGGATTCATTGCTTAGTTCTGTTTGAAGCAAAGTGTTCTGCGAGGACCTTGGTAATCAAGTTAATATAGGAAACGTGCGCGGTGGAGGGCTTATATCTGGGCGCTTTATATAATCTTGATATATTTTTCGTTGACAGACAGATGGGCCCATGACGGTAGCGGGGAGGGGGCGGGGTGGGGGAACTCCCATGTGAAAAGGTCGGGGATTCTTGTCGTCTTTCTTAGCGGTGTAAATCAAAGATTCTGGTCTCACTTAGGGTGTTCATGACAAACACCACTATTTTTAGCTGTCAAAGTATCTTTTAGTTCGCACTCGTAGAAACAATACCAAAAGAAACGCTCTTATTTCCGTTTTTAAGCTCGACTTCCGTCGGTCTCTCTATCCCAGTCTACTACCGCGGGCTCCTTTCCTGAACAGCGGCCTGGTATTCTGTTTTAAGTGGTATCTTATAGGTGTCAAATAAAGCCAGAGCCACACCCAGATTGATCTCCTTTAGGGGTTTAATTCAAATTATCCAATGAGCACCCCGACCTTTTCATGAGAGTACCCCTGGGGGCCATGAGCAGGGTGCGGCATTAATGTGTTATATCGACTGATTTATTCAATTTGTGAAGCATCAGTGATGGAAACCACCCCCCCCCCCCAAAAAAAAA